AAAAAAAAAAAAAAAAAACCTTTCCCAGAATCATCCGTGATTTTTAATTATACACAGCAGCTACTCATTTGCCCCTGCTCCCAAAACAGTTGGTACAAAACTCAGATTTATTAACTGAAAGAGTCTTTTCATTACCTCCCAACTGAAAGAGCATCTCTTTTGTTCCCAAACTGCAGTTGGGACTGAAAAAAAAAAACCAAACAAACAAAACCCCAAAACACCTGGAAGCTTTAAATTAAAGCTTCAATTAAAATTAAGTCTGTTTCATTAAAGGCTGCTCAGTCCCTGGGAATTAAGTGTTAAGGCCCTAAGGCGGGAGACGAACTGTATTTCCTCTCTGCCTTGACTTCTGTGGGCTTTTTTCAGACTTAAGAAAACAAACACTTAAAAAAAGGGGAGTGGCTACTAAAATCCAGTATCCATTTATGGGGTCCCAGAGACTGGTTCTGATAGGCAGGAAAGCATAACGTTTTTTTTTTTTTAATTTATTTATTTTTTATTTTTGTCTGTGTTGGGTCTTCATTGCTGCACGCGGGCTTTCTCGAGTTGCGGTGAGCAGGGGCTACTCTTTGTTGCGGTGCACGGGCTCTAGGCACGTGGGCTTCAGTAGTTGTGGCACGCAGGCTCAGTAGTTGTGGCTCTCAGTAGTATGGCACATGAGTTAGTTGCTCCGCGGTATGTGGGATCTTCCCGGACCAGGGCTCGAACCCGTGTCCCCTGCATTGACAGGCGGATTCTTAACCACTGCGCCACCAGGGAAGTCCCAAGCATAACGTTTTTTGAAAGGTTTTAGGAAGACTACCAGTGTCCTCAAGAGAGGCCCCTTCTATTGAGCCAGGTACCGGGCTTAGCACTTTAAAGGCGCCATCCCATAAAAACCCTCACAACCCCACGACGTGGGCACCTCTGTCGCTCCCAGTTTGACAGATGGGAGACCAAGGTTTGGAGCAAAGCTATGAGCTGGCTGGCGGCGCCCAGACTGAGTTCTGTGCTGCAGGCTCCCCTTCATGTCCCCCAAGAGCTAAACATGCCTCAAGGAAGAGCCTGTTCCAGAACGTCAAGGCTCTGGAGGGGAGAAGGAAAACTGTCACCAGTACCCTTCGGTTGGGCCAGCACCGCGCCCTCCCTGTTCTCTGACGCCCAGCAGCCGGAACGGCCGCTGGGAGCTCAGGCTCCTTCTGATAAACAGCTCCCTACCTGCCTTTTGGCTGCGGATGAAGTGCCCCGGATGGGAGATCTGCCAGACCCTGATAGGAGGAGCAGTGGACAACCCCCGGTTCCAAGAGCCAAACAACGTCCTGAGGCTGATGACGGGTGAAAGCCCCTTTCACTTCCCACCCTGGACATCTGGCCCAACCAGACTTCATTATGTCCCCTCTGTCTACTTGCCAGGACCGGGTGGAACTGTCTCTCTCTCTTGAGAGCCCTTTTCTGTACGACCTCTATTTTGGCAAAAGGCCTTTTGGCCAGAAAAGAAAAAAAGGCAGCCAGGGCTTCCCTGGTGGCGCAGTGGTTGAGAATCTGCCTGCCAATGCAGGGGACACGGGTTTGAGCCCTGGTCTGGGAAGATCCCGCATGCTGCGGAGCAACTGGGCCCGTGAGCCACAACTACTGAGCCTGCGCGTCTCGAGCCTGTGCTCCGCAACAAGAGAGGCCGCAATAGTGAGAGGCCTGCGCGCCGTGATGAAGAGTGGCCCCCGCTCGCCGCAACTAGAGAAAGCCCTCGCACAGAAACGAAGACCCAACACACCCAAAAATAAATAAATTAATAAATAAATAAATATTTTTTAAAAAGTTATTCCTTAAAAAAAAAAAAAAGGCAGCCAGACTTCCAGCTACAGAATAACCAGTATCTACTGCAAGACAATGGGAGGGACAAAATATTCAGACACAACAGACAATTTCCTGTTAGCCGGTGCTGCAGTTAGTTTTTAACTTTCTAGAATTAGAAGCTTATATGGACAATTTTCTTCCTTTTATCCTGGAAATCTCTTTAATCATGTGGGTCATGCAGTTTTCTTCCTAACCCTGGAGAAGAATAAAGAGACTGAAATAAAGGAATTTTTGAGGCGATGACCTGCAAGGAATGGAAACTTTTCAGACATTCATTTCTTCGTGAAATATCACCTTAAGAACCTGTGATGTATCCTTAGTCGCTGCCCTGGATGCAGACAACATCGTACCTCCCCCGTGTCTGTTCTTAGATAAGTGCTTTCATATACCTGCAGATGGCTCTCTGAGCCCCAGTGTCCTCACCTCCCAGTTCTCCCTCACTCTGCCTTTTCAGGGAGCCCTTCCCTGATGACCTTATTTGTTAAACTGGCAGCATCCCTCCCTGCAGCCCTGCCCACCTGCACCCTCCCTCCCCCCCTTGGCATTTCTCAGTAGCACCTCTCACATCAACAAGCCTGATATTTTCCTTTTCTGTTTATTGTCCCTCCCCTCCCACTAGACGTCAGGCTCCCTGAGGGTGGGTTATGTCTGTTTTGTTCATTGCTCTATCCGCCCCCCCCACCCCGCCCTGCCTTAGAGCAGTGCCTAGCACAGTGCAGACACTCACGAATAAGTGAGGGACACAGCACAACTGTTGAGGGCAGAAGCCTTGGAACGAGACTGGTTTGGATCCCAGTTCTGACAGGTAACCTCTGTGTGATTCTCAGAAAGTTACTCAACCTCTCTGGGCTTAAGGGGGGGATGACAGTATTGCTTACGTCACAGTGTTGTTGTGAGGATTACATGAATTAATATTTTCAAAGTACTCAGAACAGTGCCTGGTACAAAGTAAACACAATATAGTGTTTATTATTAATATTACTTATTGCATGAATGAAAACAGGTGTCACTCTAAACAATCTGAACTTGTGAGCAAGATTTTTGGCTCATTCCTCAAACCTTCCTGACCCTCCTAATACAGCCTTTTTACTTTAATAAATATGGGGTGGGGGAGCAGTACACACACACATACACACACACACACACACACACACACACACCTGCCAGTGCCAGGCTCACAAGAAAGACCAGCAAGTCAGGAGGACATTCCATATGATGAGTGCATAGAAGATGCACACCCATGGGGCTGAGGAGGGGGCCAGTGGAGGCACCCAAGGTATCACTGGTGGTCAGGGAAGGCTTCTGGGAGGAAGGGACAGTTGGGCTGATCCACAAAGAATCACCAGGAAACAGCTGGGTGTGCGCGGAGGGTGCCCAACACATGAAGATCCCCTAACTGGGCTCAGGAGGCAGAGACAAGATCTACCTCCTGTCCGATGGGGGAGCAGAAGGCAGGGAAGAAAGTTTCTCCGCCTGTGGCAGAGGCATGGGAAGGTCATGGGTCAAATGCCTAGGCAACATTCAGGAAGCACTGGCTCCCGGTGGCACCATGTTGAGGCCCACATCAGCTCATGGGACTGTTCCCCAAACTATTGTTGGGAAGGTGCTATTTTAAACGCCTGCAAGGTCAGCAAACAGGCTCAGAGGCCTTCAGCACTTGGGGTAGGGCTGCACCGCTGGTGAGCGGATGCAGGCACGCAAAGGGACCAAAGGTACAAAGCTCCAGGCACTGCTTGTCCCAACTTGTTAGCTCTGGATCTCCAGACTTCACTGCTTACCACCTTTTTTCTTTAAGGAGACCCACTTCAAAACTTTCAAAAAGGGATAGTCTGCATTACCATTCTGAATGGAAACCTGTTTTCAGTTAGCATACACAGAAGCAACCGAAGTGAAATACTGATGCAACGAGGTAACACTGGGTTTCTTGCGCGCGTACTGCCTGCAGTCTGACAGGGAGGCCTGCCCTCTAGGTTAGATAAAAAGGGAGTGGCAGCAAGTGTTGGGGGGGTGTTAGAAACCGCAGCACCCACCAAGCCTTTCTCCTCGGCCCAGGGAGGAAGCCCCGGCGCGACTTCAAAGGGAACAACTCTACCGCCCAGTGAGAACGTCGATACCAAGCCCAGGCCCCATCTCCAATCCTCCCGTCCACCACCACAGTACAGCCTGACGCTTTGGGATCCTGGGATCACCTGAAGGTTGTGACCTTGGGCAGTCACCACACCTCCCTGAGCCTCAGTTTCCCCGGCTGTAAACTGGGAACTCGCTTCTTTGACTTGTAGAGATCTGAGGCCTGGGGACCCTGGCGGTGCTCGGTCTCGGGCAGCTGCGCGAGTCAGGCTCTCCTTCGGCGGAGATGGGCCGACGATCGGGGCGCGCGGGGTTCGGGGTGGGGGCGGGGAGGCTTACCTGGCGGCCGTGGCAGTTCCCGCGGGCCGCGCGCAGCAGCGGGGCGTCCAGCCCGGTCCCGAGCAGCGGCAGAAACACGGGCGGTGGGGCGCGGGGGGTGGCAGCGCCCAGGAGCCAGGTGGCGCGAGACCGGACCCGGGCGCCCACCCTGCCCGTGGGGCACAGCAGCGCCAGCAGCCCGGCCATGGTACTCAGCCCTGCGCCGCCGCCAGCACAGCGGACAGCAGAGGGAGCAGCGCGGTGGGCGGGGCCCGCGGGAGCCCGAGCCCGGAGCGGCGGGGTGGGGCCGGGGCCGCGCGCCGTCCTTGGCCCCGCCCACCTCCCCCCGCCCCTCCGCCGCCTGAGCGGAGCCGGAGCTGAAGCCCCGCGAGAAATGGGCGGGGCTGGAGACGTGCACCCCTTCCGACAGCCTGTGAATTCTAGTCGGCGGGTCCTGACTCATCGTGTTGGTTACAAGCGAGTCAGAGGCCAGCCCATCCCTGATTCAGGAGTGAGGGGGTCAGATTCCTCCGAGTTGACGGGAAGTGACAAGGTCACGTGTGGAAGGGCTTGTGGAAAGGGAAATGTTGTCGTGACCATGTTTGGGAGATGCAATCTACCACGGTAGTCAACTATTAACTGTAATAAAGATAATAATCTTTGGTCTCCATTCTGCAGAAGAAGAAACTGAGGCTCACAGAAATGAAACCTTCCCTGAGGCCTCTTATCCTCATCCTTTTGTCATGCCTGACTCCCCGGTAGCATTTTTTGGTTCAAACTAGAGGGTCCAGAATGTTTCTAGATCTTTGCTATTTTAAGCAGAAAAAAAAATTTTTTTTTTTTTACCACAGGGAACGGTTGCTTGGAAAACCATTGGAAAAGCTGGAGGAGTGGACATTAGGCTGGCCCCCCAGGAAAGGCTCTCTGGACAGAGCAACATGGGCCGGCAAGAGGGGGGACGCAAGCCACAAGCCGTTAGGGGGGTGTCAGCGGTCGGCCAGTGGAATGAATGAATTCTAGAGCACACTGCCACAGCCGTGACCCCAGGATCAGGAAACTGCCACTGCAGCTGCTTTCCAGCTTCTACAGAACAGATCACTGGACACCGGAAAGCAGGGTCAGGCGGCTGCCTCGGCCACAACTAACGGTCCACACCCATGCGCTGGCGACTGCACACCTGAATTCTGCTGCAGAAAACCCCACGTCTCTGCACACTTGTTTACCAGCCGCAAACAGCCCAAACCGCAGGAGGATGCCTCCGCCTCCTTTCTGCCTTCGAAATATTCTGCGAGTGCATTCAATTGGCAGAAATGAGTTCGTATCCAGAAACCTAGGTGCAAAGGGAAATTATAGCCATTCTGCCAGCCGTTCAGCCGGTCTACACTGGAAAGAGATGGGAATCCATGTGCCCAAGTTCAATACCTCAGGACCCTCCCCCCACCTTGAGAAGCCCCTTCTGTCTCACTGGCTACAGCTGAGTCACAGGACACTCTTAGCTACAAGGGAGTCTGGAATTTGAGGATCCGGCAAAAGAAATAGGCCTGGCTTAGGTCAGAGTAGGCACATCGTCCTCCTGAACACAATCAGGGTTCTGTTGGCAGGGAGGTAGAGGGGGTGGCTGCCGGGGGACGGGGGTGGTAACTCCAGGCAGTGCGACAGGACTGTGTGCCCATGCGCTGCGGTGAGAGTCACACAGGAAGTGCACGTGTACCGGGGGGAGGGGCATGCATCAGTGTGTGTGTGTGTGTGTGTGTGTGTGTGTGTGTGTGTGTGTGAGGGGGCCGAAACCTAAAGGGGGCTGGGGTGCTGGAGGAAGAAAAAGGAGTTTTTTCCCGTCTGGTGGAGGAGGAGATACTTCTTCCCAGTTTCCAAGGGAACCATGGTTAATCTGCTCAGGGGTCCAGGGCCTCGGGGTTACTCTCTGTGGCTCCTTTCTATAAGAATGTGGGAAGGTAGATTCTGGAGCACAAGCAGATAAACTGTGATAAAATAGAAAGTGAACGGTGTTTGGGACACATTGCCACGTTTTCTCCCATTACATATTCTCTGGTTGTACCTGAGTCTCCCTGAGGACGAGAACAGTTCTCTTCCAGTTCTCTTTCTCTGTCAGATTCTGCAGTGCCCTGCTCTAAACAGTTTCTGCCCCCCCTGGAGTCCTCCTTCCTGCCCTGATGCCTTCTCTTCTGGCACATACCCTGGCCTCTTCTCAGGGGAAGCCTGAGTCTTAACTGATGGCTCCAGCCCACGTCCCTGTTTCCCTCCACCATTCCCCACCTCCTGCTTCTGTCCCTTTTCCCAAAGCAAATCCAACTACCTGTGCCCATACATCACTTCTTGCCTGCTCTCCGTTCGTTTCCAATCAGCATTCATTATTCTGAACACCTGCTGTGTGCCAGCAGTGGGCGATGCAATAAAAATAAGGCTTTGTGGTTTCATGATTTGTTAGTTAACATCACAGCTTTGGTGTGGTGCAGGCCCTGTTTAGAATCTTTGTTCAGTGACTCCAACGATCTAAGTCTCTTGTTTCCTCACTTGCAAGAAGTGAGAGTAATAATACCCATCTCAAAGGGTTACTGTGAAAGTTAAAGGAGATAATATATTTCAGTCCCTGTAGAACCGGGCGTGGCACAGTGAGGACTCAAGACATGGCAGTGTGGCTGGCGTTTCTGTCTTTTTTGTCTGCCGAGCTCCCTCTTTCTATCGGAGATGCCCCTCCCTCCCTATTGTAGTTTGTATGAAGCTGTCCAATCTCAATGGTTGGTGGCCATCTGGTCAGGGTATGGGTGTGAGATCCAGATCTTGCCAAAGTACCCCACACCCCTAGTATTGGTAGAAATGGGGTCAAGTTGTATATATGCATCATAATGTGACTTTTTCACTTCATCTGTCACTAATGTCTTTCCTGTTGAAACCATAATTGTGCAGCATTATTATTTAAAAGCTGCAGAGCATTCTATAGTATAGGTGCTCCATGATTTGTTTAATCCAGTGTCCTGGTAATGGGTGTTATGGACTGAATGTTTGTGTCTCCCCCCAAATTCATATGTTAAAGCACTAATTCTCAGTATGATAGTGTTTGGAGACGGGCCCGTTGGGAGGTAAATACGGTTAGATTAGGTCATAAGGGTGGGTTCCTCATGATGGGATTAGTGCCCTTATCGGAAGTGGAAGAGACACCAGAACTCTTTCTCTCTGCCACGTGAGGACATAGCAAGAAGCAATCAGCAAACCAGGAAGAGGATGCTCACAAGAACTGGACCACATTGGCACCCTGATCTTGGACTTCCAGCCTCCAGAACTGTGAGAAAATAAATTTCTGTTGTTTAAGCCACCCGGTTTGTGGTATTTTGTTATGGGAGCCCGAGCTGACTAATATAGGTTATAATAAATATATACGTGATTTCCAGTGTTTTCTCTATTATAACTTGAACTATCGTTAGTGACATCTTGTTGCAGTAGATCCTGTTAGTAACCCTCTCCTTGAAAGAGTCTCACCCATTCACTTATCAACACGCACTTACTGGGTGCCGACCACGTGTGCACATTTTCTTCCGTCGTGTGGCACCTACTGATTCTTCTCGCTCTGTGAGGCAGGGTCTTCGGAGGCAAACGGGTCAGGGTGGAGTTTGGGAGCTCGTGACACTAGCCTTGCGGCCCCAAGGAAAGTATGTAACCTGCTTTAACCTCAGCTTTCTTTTCCTGTGATATGGGAATAACGACACATGTGTCTGTGACTTCCTGAAAAAATGAAGAGCAATCCCATGTGTGCACGACGGACATGGTATCAGTCCCCACAAAGGCTTCACTCCCCACGCCCCTTCCCTCCATCATGACACAGATGGTCTGTGGGGCACAATGAAGGGAGGAGGAGGGCTGAGGAGAAAATGGGCTTCCACACCCCACAGACCACGTCTGAACTGGGAACCATGGAGGCACGCACTGTAGGTCTCTGTAGGAAGAGGTGCATTCGCTCTCAGTTGTTCAGTCACTATTTAATTCAGCATCTGCGTCATGCTCGGGGCTCTGCTAGGCACCAAGGGGGGTGTGGAGAATGTCACCGGTGGTAGCTGCCACCACCCACTTCTGAGCGACCTCTTCCTCCTCGTGGCCCACCCTGTGGGAGCTCTGTCCTTGTCTGAACTTGGGCTGACATTGGATCATCATCTCTGCTTTTCTTCATCATTTTGGGGAAAAATCGTCAGTAAGAACATGGTCCGTGGAGGCGGAGAGACCTGGATATGATTCCAACTCAGCCACTGACTGACTGTGGCACCTTAGCAAATCACAACACCTCTCTGTGTTTCTCAGCCTTCACCTCTGGGATGTGGACAGTGAGTGAACCCCCCTTAGTTTGGTGTGAGGCTTAAGTGGGATGACACCTTTTTTTTTTTTTTTTTTTGCAGTACGCGGGCCTCTCACTGTTGTGGCCTCTCCCGTTGCGGAGCACAGGCTCCGGACACGCAGGCTCAGCGGCCATGGCTCACGGGCCCAGCCGCTCCGCGGCATGTGGGATCTTCCCGGACCGGGGCATGGACCCGTGTCCCCTGCATCGGCAGGCGGACTCTCAACCACTGTGCCACCAGGGAAGCCCGGGATGACACCTTTTGAGTGCTGTGCCTAGTGCCTGGCTGATGGCAGGAGCTCAGAAAATGTGAGTTATTAAGAGGAATTCGGGTTCCTCCTGCCCCAGGTTACTGCCTGGCTGGGTTTTCTCTTGTTTCCACAAATAAGGTAGAAGATTAGTCCAACGCTTTGAAACAAATGGTGTTTTATGGCTTAGGGCCAAGAGCTGGGGCTTTGGGGTCAGATTGCCTGGGGGTGTGTCCCCCCATTATGGTGCACTGACCGTGTGCCGGGTCAAGTCACTCAGCATCTTGGGACCTCAATTTTCTCATCTGTAGGATGGGAATAATAATATCACCATATGACAAGGTTGCTGTGAAGAATAAGAGAAATTTCATGCACGTGTATGCTCGGCACAGGGACCAGCACATACAGTGCCTTCCCGAAAGCTGATCGTGGTGAGCACAGTGGCCATTATTGTTCCTTTTCATTCATTCGTTCCTAGAAGAGTATGAATGGTGTGGACTGGACACAAATAAAAGCTTCGGGGTGGGGGGCACAGGGCGTAGAACCCGAGCTGTGCGGTCCAGTGAGGCCACTCAGGGAGAGAGATGCTACTTGTAAAACCACCACCAAGAAAAGCG